TTTAAATTAAAAATCAATTTCCGATTTTTTTTTGAAATACAAATGATTTTCACAAGAATTATAAAACTGAAATAACATGGAATAAACTAATTATTTTGATAGATACTCAATGATGGATAATTATTTTTCACGATAGATAACGATATTATTATCACCTCTAGCATTTTTTTCAAGCAAAAAGTAATGCATATAACGCCATATCATCGTAGTTAACAATGTATCTTCGTTTATCACCGTTATCTTGATCGTGCAGAAGTCTCTTGTCGGTTCTCGTTTTTAATGAGTACGGACAACACGCGATCAAACAAATCTAAACGCGTCAAATAATTTAATAATGTATGAAGAACGTAGATAATTATAGAGATAAATAATTATATAGGAAGCAACTGGATTGATCGCATTATAAATTTATGAAAATTTTCATATCATTAGAATTTAAATACGAATTTAAAAATGTCCTTTGATTTGCTATTCGAAGTAATAATATCGCAAGAGAAGAGAACTCTTCTATTGTTCCTGTCAAATCGAAACACTTGTTTTTCAAGATCCGCCCTCGCGGTGCAATTTACTCTGTAAAGTATGGTGAGCTCTGCGAAGCTACAAAAGTAAATTCCATTAAAGCAGCAACGGGGTACTTTCCTTTAATGTCGTTAGTAGGAAAGAGCGGGAACGAACTGTGGTGGGAGAAGATCGTATGAGGGTAGAAGTAAGAAACGAATCACACTGAATCAACGTGCAAAACTTAGATGAATATTATCGCATAGGACTACATTTTTTACTTCGAAGAAATATCACGCATTGAGAAGAAAATAAATAATAAATAATAAAACTTTTTAAAGAAAGGACTTTAATTGGAAAAAAGATAAATCCGAATGATTAATGAATTAAGTGATTAATATCTCTTTTATTACGTTGTATTAAATCAAAATGCAGGCTAACCTAAATTCATTTTTCACGGATTATGAATATTTGGTTCGGCTGAACGCATGAAGATCGATACACGCACTCAGCACGCGCTTGTGAGCGCGAATAAATATGCCCAGTCGCGTGTACACAAATTTTAATTATGAATCGCCAATTGAATTCTGGCGAACAAGATCGTGTGTTCGCTACCAGAAGTGCGCGCGCGCGAACGTGGATAAATTATCGGCTAATTTCCTTTGCTGCTGAAAGATCGTAAAATTTATCTGGTAACTGGTTTTTGTGGTGTGCGTTGTGCGTGGTAGCTTTACGCGATAACTGAAAGTGCGCTTAGCGTCGCGATCATTATTTGAAGTACATTTTTAAAGGCGCGTACCACTATTGTTAGTGAAGCACCTGTCCCGCTCGGTTCGTTGAATTTGGCTCGTGCTATACGTGTGCGTGCGCGCGCATCGTGTCACGCGTACCAACACGAATACGTACGAAGATACACGAATCCGGAGAGAGTCATGTAAACAGTACAAATATGCGGCCACATATAAGTATGTATATGCATGATTACCGATTACCGAGTAAATTAATGAAGGAAAAAATATATTTTTTATATATAAGATAAGAAACTACGTATTCAAATTACAAAAATAATTCCTTAATATTTTTGTACATCGAGCTTGGGTATATGTGTGCCAATGAAATAAATTATAATTATAAATGTGAAATGGGAATTCATTATGAGATAAAATTATATAGCGAATTATGGGCAACAACGTGTATGATGTATTCAAATATAATTCTAATATATAGAAATAAATAGATAAACAGAAGATAATATATACAGAAGGAAGAGTGATAAAGAGAAAAAGAGAAAGCAAGAAGAAAAAGAAGTATAGCTATAACTGACCATAAAATTTGTTAACGATCTGTAACGAGAAAAAAGCAACAGTCGGTGAATCATGGGATAATTATCTTTCGAGCACGACTAGTATTTTATCAGAGCTATATTTGCGGTAACACGTTCGCGAATTGAGAATCAAGAGTAACGAGAAGCAAATATTATATTACATAAATCCCGAGAGAAAATGATTACCGTGAGAAACGTTTTTGTTATAGGGGCCTGTACAAAGTCTGCAAAGACGTAAATTATGCCACGCGCACTAAATTCTAAATTTAATCTTTTTAAAAAATGTCATATGTTTGTGTAATATTGAAATTCTTAAACGTAAATAATGAGTCGTCAAATCGTATTACGTAATTTTCACGATGCAAAAATAAACCTTTCGATTGAAATAATTTTAATATAACTTGTAAATACGCATTTGTACTTTCAAACGAAAAATTGTAGAAAACAATTCGTCTATATTTGATGCACGAAAACATTGTTCAATATAAAACATATCTCGTAGAAATTACACACAGCGAAGCTAAAATAAATGTTTTGTTATTTTTTGCGATTCTTGAATCGCGCACAGAAAAAGCACGAATATGTATGTGTTTGTTTACCACAAGGACAAAGCATTATTTTAATCGTGATTCACGTATTATTTAACCGACGCACGAAATTAATAAATAAAATTAATAATACATTGTTTATAAAATTTGCTTTTACCTGTTATTAAATTCAATTCGAAATACATTTTATACTAAATTTAATGAAATTATTACATTGTTTTCCATCAATTATTTATTTAAATTTAATTATAAAATTTAAATGTTTAATTATCTATAAATAATTTAAATATAATTTATACGCAACGAATATATCCGATTAAAATTAAAAAATTTATTATTAATATTTGTATATTAATATATTCATTTATTTAAATAAACTTCATGATGCCATAATCATTAATATTATCGCAAAATATTACTTATTTTATAAGATAAGTATTCATTGTTGCATAATAACATCATTTCACCGTGCCTCACTTATCATACTCCAAACAGCTTCGCGTCGTATAAATATATAATTTTATTACGTCATAGACGCTCAAGTATAGGTCATAGGGAATTTTCGTTAGAGCACCTATTATTATTCTATTTATCAGAACCATTTTTTATAATTTATATTTTCCATTTTAGCAACAACATAAAAAAGAAAATGAAATAAAATTTCTATGGATAAATAGCTCACCAGAAAAATAAACTTTATTCAAAAAGTCAGAGAGAATATTTTAAATTGTTATACGGTGAACAAAGGCGACGAAAAATTGCAGAAGTTTGTTGTCTCTTTATTGCGAGAAAAAGACAATAGAGACCACTTTACATGTATTACGTATTCAGTCGAGTTACGATAACAAAAATAACGCTCACATGCTTAAATCCTGATATAATAATTATTTCACGATCCTCCATTATCGATTAAATTTTCAAATATATATTTTTAATTCATCCATTTACAATAAAGACAGAAACAATGTGTGAATTAGATCTCTTTTGTACGCGATATGCATTGGACTATTCTTTTGCACATAACGATTTGTGAATCGCGATTCATGTGTAATATATGCGTCCGACCATAAGATATTCATTCGATGCAATATCTAATTTCGTAGCACTGTCCTTGTTCAACTAATATTGCGAATGAACGATTTTGTAGCTGTTATGTGAATACTATCATTTGTTTCTATGTTTCGTCAACCGTCTCGATTCGAAAAATGTCGCCGACAACAAATCGACCCATACACGGAATCGAAATCGCTATTCTGAATCTCACAAAAATCGTTTTCTGAATGCTTCCATGAGTATTCATCATATGAATTGCAATTCACGAATCGCTGTATGAAAAACTCAGACAGCGTGTGAGAGGGAAAAAGAGATTTGAGAATAAAAATAGAAAGATGACAAAAAAAAAATGAAAAAATAAATTTAAGCTATGATAAAAATAATAAAAAAATATTATCAATAGAAATCTATAATTATGATTCAATAATTAATTTTGAATAATTGTTTCAAGAGATAAATAATATTAAATAATATTAATTCAATTGTTTTCGTATTATAAATAAAAATTAACTAAAAAAAGGAAAAGAAAAAAATTGTTGATAATAAAAATTGTAAACTTCTTATTCGACTGTACATCCTTTCTACGAACACTCCTAAATATATTTTTCTCACGACAGCCACAAACATACGCTCTTAAAATTTTCTTTAAACAGACGACGCTCTATTTATCTACCGCTTGTACCATAATATTTCATCCTAATAATAACAGACGTATTTATCGATTCGACTCTTGTGCACAAATAATATTGTTGTATTTTCTCTACAACGTTTCTTTTATACAATAATTTTATCTATCTAATTCAAAATATTTTTAAAAAAGAGAAAGTATCATAAAAAAGCCAAGAACTAAACAATTCGGGGAAAAATGTAATTTCTCATTAAATCGTTGTTAGGACAATGCGAGTCGAGGTGGCTGTGTTAAATCGGGTTAAGGCACATCTATAAATACCTCACTAACTGCGAGTGAGAGAACATGAGAAGAAGAGAGAGAGAGAAAGAAATATAAAATGTACTGGTAGAAGTGTGAGAAAGAGAGAAAGAAAGAATACAAGAGATAAAGAGAGAGAAAGAGGGAGCGAGTGAGATATGTAAACGGAGAGAAACAGAGAGAAATAGTAAGCAAGCATACGAGTAAGTAAGAGAAAGAATGAGAAGGGTGGGGATGGAATAAGGGATGGAGGAGGGATAGAAAGAGGGAGGAGGGAGGCTAAGAAACGTGCAAGAGAGATAAAAGCAGAATCACAAAGTTGACATAGAGAAATGAAAATGAAACAGAGAAAGACGAAAGGTTGATAACGATGGAGAAGGGAGAGTTAATCAGTCCTTCTAATAGTGTGGCACATTGAAGATATACACAATTGCATTTGTTGCCAGATGTCTAAGTACACGATTGTCTCCCCTCCATTGACTACCCCTTCCCCCACTCATCACCACGCTGTCACTTCTGCATTACGGACGAGCAAGAGAACACATCAAATAAATTCGACAACGGGAGAAAAAAAAGATCGCAGGCGCGTAAATTCATATTAACTAATGTAGACAATTTTTAATTATAATTTCAAATTATTATTGCTCACCTCTATCTTTTCCATTTCTTTGCTGCACGAGTGTCACTTACTATTCCCACAGTCATCTAGGATCCTTTGGTACACACACACTGACGGCACATAGCGCAATATATCACGAGCTACACAAACGCGGTGTGCGTGTATCGAAACGATATAGGTTTGACGCGCGCGGACCAGCGACTCACGGTGCGGCGCACGCCGCTGTCCCATCAAGACTACTTTGTATTTACTCTAATTATGTGACGTCACGGATACACTGCTCGCCCCACCATTCGCCGCCGGAGGCGCCCGAGCAATGACGAGCGTGCTCGAGTGTTGCCGAGGTCGAGCGAGCAATGCGCATGGCGCAGGCACCAGTCACCTGTCGTCTCTTCTCCTTCTTGTAGAGCACTGAGTGCAGTACATCGTGAAACGTTTGCAATCTACACTGTGTGATTCTTTCTCACCGAACTCTAGTATTTGTAGTTACATACTTTTCTATAATTATGATTTCGTTCTATCCATTAGAATATCTTCAGTTTCTAATAGATAATCATAAACAATGTGCAACTACACCTACAGAGCCGATTTTTGTGTTCTAACCTTAATTTGGCATATGAATCTGTGCTACTAGTGATACATTCATCCTAAAACTATGAAATTCAAGAATGTGTGTTTATGTTGAATGTTAATATATTGTGATTTATAGGATTTTTATTATGAATATTACATGTTCGACGTTTAATTTACAATGCATATTTATGGACTTTTGTTGTGAGTTTTAATCGTTTGAGCAGATAGTGCGAGTGTCGTTTATGAAAAAATGAATTTTGAATAGTTATTTAATTATTATTAAAATGTGTTTATAAAACTCAATTATAAATTGATAAAATAGCAATAACAATTGTGTTTTGTAAATTTTTTTAATCATTATGTTTGATGTAAGTGAAGTTATATTTATTTGTTTGTTACTGTAATAATTGAAATATTTGTATTTTTAATGTTAATATTAAATTTAAATTGTGAGAAACGAACTGAAAATTAAAACAAAATTATAAAAATTAAGAAATTAAAGAAATTAAATTTCTTTTTAAAAAAAATTTGAATTCCTACTATAAATTAATATGAACAGATGATAAATCTTTTAAAAAAAAAATTGAACATTTGATTCTATATTTAAAAATAAATAAATATGGCAATTTATGATTTTAAATCTGTATAAAAATAATTATTAATTTTGAATTTAATAAATATTATCGATATAAATACAGAAAAGTGTGTCGATAAAAGTGCATAATAAATTACACCATTGTTGAAAAATCATATTTATTTGTTCCATTCATTATCCAAAGCTCTTTTCTGATGTCTGATTTGCATAAAACTAGCGTTTTTCACGCTAAAACTATTTGCTTTTATCGAACACACAAATTACATAAATCGATATCTACACACGGTAGACAAATTACATTTTCGAGACATTACACTTTATAGGTTAACTTTATTTTCTCGTCCTCTATATGAATAAACTTCTGATTATTTCGCGATATTCTTTTTTTATTTATTCAACAGTTTCATATGTGTAACTTTCATATGTTATATGACAGAAATTTAAGAGTTGCTCCAGATAAAGATTTTGTTACAGCGGAAAGCAATGTGCACAAGGAAATAGGAATATATGCATATATGTATATCATATATGGATATTCCTATATATATATATTTACAATAAATATAGAAGAAACGTATTTAGATGTTAATAGACGGATTTTAGGCCTATTTCGCGAGACATTGATCTGCACGATGTTAATTAACAAACTATAGATGCAGGCTCATATAGATTTAATTGTATTAATTATTTCGTTGTTATTTTTTTCTTTTTCATTTTTTCATTTAGATATTTTTCATATTTTTTCAGTACAATTGTGTATATAAAATAAGATATAATATAAAAACAGAATTTTAAATAATACTAATATTACTTTCTTAATTTAAAACAAAAAATTATGATTGATAAATTAAACGTCTAACTATATTTGAAAACTACTACAAAAATACTAACAATTACTACGTCAATTAATACGTCAAGTTAAAAAAATTAATTTTCTGAATCAATAAAAAATAAGATATAAAATTTAAAAAAATTTTAAACGCATTTTTTATTATTTAAAAAATTAATTTTTAAAATCATTTTTTTTATTATCGATTTGATATATATTTGAAAATGAATAAAGAAACAGATTTATATAATTTGAAGTCAATTTGTTCAAACATACGTAACGGAATTATATATCGTACGGCCATTACAAGAAATCATTTTGTGCAAATTATATGCGTCACTAACTATCGAAAATTTTTTAGTTGAAATTAAAAAAATATCCAATAGAACAATACTATATGACTATAAAATTAATTTTTACCTTAATTAGTAGCTGGATAAAGGGCATATAATGTCGAAATTTAAAAATAAATTCAGTAATATATTCGTTAATTAAATTTTGAACTGCCATGTTTCCTTTGTCTATGTAACTTTTAATTACTTTACAATCACACATTTATTCTGTATTTATACGTTATATATTATTGAATTTATTCAAAAATATATAATATTAAACGAGAATAAAATCTTGTTGATGTTCAAGCACTAGTTAGTGACGATATATGACACAAAAAGTAATTATACTGCGAATTATAATTGACATAGCACGATAAACGAATCGAATCGAAAATTGCACTGCATAACTTAAAAATGGAGGGAAACTGTCCAGACAACAGCGCCACTAACCACTTCCGCTATCTAGTTCTAATTTTAGGAACTACGATGAATTTTTCTTGTGCATAAAATCACAGTTTTCGAACTTGAAATTCAGTACCGTTTTCATTTATTCGATTCGAAAATTTATATATTTTTTGTAATAACCGTACTGTATTTAATTATAATTGCAAATTCCATTCGAGCTTGTGCACAGTATAAGAAGTGTACGAAATTGATTGTGGTTTAGGTTATAATTATTGTTATAATTCAAACTGACAAAACAAAACTTGACAAGCTTACCATACAAGCAATGCAGGGAAGTATGTAGATTTGTTTTTAGACATTGAACATATATATAGTCACGTACGTTTGAATTATTTCTAAATTCTTTATCAAGTTTTTTTATTGTAATTATTTAAATTGGAATATTAGAATATAAATTATACATTAAATTTTATTGTATCATTTTACGATAACGTACGTGACATTTTATTGTATAACATTTTACACTTAGAGGACTGATGCTATATAACTTATATGTTATAGTAATGTTTTTAACATTACCGAATTTAACATTATTATAATTTCAAATTTTATATTTTACTCCATTCCTGTCAATGCTAGTTTTGTTGGTCCTCCAAGAGTCAATAACTGAAACAATGCGAAATAACAAATTTATTCGCTATTTTAAGCACATCCATGACAAAATATTAATAGAATTGAGCTATAGCATGTCCCATTAACAACAATCAAGTTTCGTCTAAATCTAAATATTGGTACTATGACCAGAGCGTAAGTGGGGAAAATATCACAGCTGGCCCCCAGCAACGTCGAAAATCCAAAATAAAGGAGGGACATTGAGGGCCTTCGAGGAACTGCCCGGTCGTCCCAGCTACGACTTTTTAAATCTGTTCTTTCATACGTTTGTCGTGTAGAATATCATTGAAAATGCATCATCTGTGAAATATAGAAAAAATGATACAAATAGTAACTATCAACTATATTTTAAAAAGAATTTCTCAATAACCGAACCGGGCTGATCGGGCTTCCCTTTGCGCGTATATTCATATTATACATGTATATTCTGTAACTAATAGTAATATTAATTGTATGATCGCTATTATTATTAATATTATTTATTGTTATTATCGTTGGCTCGCACGCTAGACCGATTATTGTGTCTGTGCACTACATTCTTCAAAAACTTTTTTATATTAATAAAAACTATTTCTTTTTCAATAAAAAAATAATGAAGTAATTTCTTGAAAATGGCTTAAGCTAGATAGGTAAGATTTTAATTAAATATTTCTCTGAAATGGGATCACAATCGCACGTATAATTTGTTAAAATTGTAGGTAAATTTTAGAATAAAATTTCATTCAATACCCTATTCCAATCTTGTCGAGTTAAAGTTGTTATCCCATAATTCAATGTGTCTGAAATTTACTATGGTTGAGCGCACCGGCACAGTAATTGGCTTCTACTTGTATTAAGGAAAGCGTGTCGAGGTCGCACGAGGCTTCTGAATTTTTATTCGAAATGCTACTTTATATAGGGAAATTATAATCACAGATTGATTCAGCGCGTAAATTTCTCAACTGTCGTACGTTTCACGACGACTCATTCACGCTGATTGTTCCTTTTTCAAAATAGAATTAATTATTTTAATATGGAGAAATCGTAATTCAAAGTCTATCATAATTTAGTCGCTAATAGATTAACAAATTTCATTACTTCACTTTCAGTTTTCTTTTTTCTAGAAAAAACTGAATACATTGAATTTTATATTCATATTCTTGTTAATTTTTTTCAATAAATAACAATCAAATACTTACTACTTAATAAAAATACATATATATCATTTTATCAAAATACAAATATTATTACAATGATTAATCCGAAAGTACGACCAAATGAGAAATTAATTTGAAGTTAACTTTCAAATATACTTCACGTAGATGTACAATTATTATAAACTTAATATTAAACATTTGAAATAACGAATCCACTAATTACAATAAAAAGATATTTGACGCGGTATAGATAGACTTTGAAATAATCTAACCTTGACAATTCAAAGGATACGTCTACCTGTTTCCTGAGACCTTCATGACATACTTCGAGCAGTCTGATATGAGGAATCCGTACGTAGATACATATTTCTTCGTACGCGAATTGAAGCCTCGCACGAACGCGGGTGCTGTAAAGTTATTAAGATTCTTAAAATAATTTTTCTTTTATTTTCTTGTATCATTCATGCTGCTCGAGAGTTCTTTCCAACGAAAGGTAGCCATTTTAGCCAAGGTACATCGATGTATGTAATCGGTCGATTTTATAATCATGCCTATCACATCTAATACTTTCAATTGTTACAGATTTCATTTCAAAATTGTTTACAAAGACTTTAAGAAATTGTTTTAAAACGAGAGTTGTAGTTCATTTAAAAATGCATTTAAAATCATAACATGTATGGTGAATTTTCTAATAGTTGATCGATTTCTTTCTTCCATCAGCCTTGGAAAGAGGAGAGTATACCCTCGAGCGAGCAACACGACGTAAATCATGGACCTTTTATCGAATAATCGAACGTGTACTTAATTATTCCGCGTCCCCACCGTCTGTTCCCCCATCGTCTTGATTATCACCATCATTTACCGCTTCTTCAGCGTTATCATCAGTTCCCTCATTATCCTCGACATTTTCAGTATCATTGATCGTATTTTTCACGTTTTCTTCGGTCGATACTTCCGTCGCTTCGATACTTTCCTCCTCTGGAGGATTCTCATCTCCTTCCTCAGGTTCCTCTACCACAAATTCCGAATTCCCTGCTTCATTCTCTTCAATTTCATCGTTTCTGAAAGCATCCACTACTTGTTGCTCGATAGTGAGCTGTCTGACAGCGTTCTCCAAATTTTCCCTCAAAATGCGAGTCGTTTTATTCTCCTCATCTTGCCACGTGAAAGGCATGAACGTCATTCGAACAGTTTGATAGATTTTCCTAAAGCCTAGTTTCTTGTACAGACTTTGGCTGGCTTCGTTTTCTGGACGTATGACCACGAAAGGCTGGTAACCTCTGTCAGCGACCTGCTTCGTCAGGTACCTACGGTTTTGCTATTATGAATGGAGAAGTATATTTGATCAAAGACATTATTTCAAAATTCATCTAAACTCTACCGTATCAAGCAATAACCAAGCAATTAGATTAACTTTCAATAAAAAAAAAGAAAAATTTGTCTACCTTGCCAATTTCGTCCCGTAACCCTTCCTTCGATATTCAGGCTTGGTTTGCATTGAAAACATGGCCCCGTAATAAGACTGAACCATCCAAGCTGCCAAACTACCCTTAGCAAACACTCCAGCAGCGGGAAGCGTCCTGATCAATCGGAGGAAAACCTCGTGACACTCCATATCGTTCGCTGGATACAATTCGTAAATACTCTCAGCGTGTTCCGCTTTCAAGGGTTGAACTTGAATGTCGGGATGGGCTTCTTCATCCGGTTCCTCGACGTTATCTACGTTTTGAGGATCCTTGCACATAAAAACATCCCCTATCACCCTCTCGATCGTCCCCGTGCCCTCGTAAAGGTGTATCAACTCCTCGGCGATATCGTAATGAACGAAATTGATGTAAAGAGGCTTCGTCCAGTCGATCAAAATATCCTCCTCCCTTAATAATTTAAGCAGATCCAGTCGATCGTTGGGACAGAAGACGCCTACACTTTCGAACAGTAAACCATGAGGCTGAAAATCGATCGAGCGATTGCGTTAGATTAAAACTAAAGAGAAATTGTAAAAGGACTTGGTATATGAATTATTTGTTCAGAGATTTCGTCGCTTCAGATTTAACTGATTCGATATTTGAAGGATTCGAAATTCTATTCGAAATTTAATCTTATTGTTAGCAGAAATTAAATAACACGATTTGAACGCGGTCGAACAAATAATTAACACGATGAGAGATATCAAGGTTAATTTTTGATTTATGAATTGGCGAATCTGGGAAAAGAGACGAGAATTTAATGGTAACGAGTTATCAAATGGACAAAATTGCGGACACGTTAATTAAGTAAAGAGCATCGAATAAGATAGGGTGGTAGATTAGAGAAGTTACAGGGGAAGGTCAGGAAATGAACTGGCAAGGCTGTGAAACAAAAGGTTGGATGAAAGCCAAGCTAGGATTTGGGCCAAATTTTCTGCACCTCTGTGCGATACGTTCAGAAACAAGATGAATTTGTCGAAGGCACGCGAGTTTTCCTTTTGATTTTCAAATTTATATTCATTAGAAAAGAGACCATCAATTTTGTTATATTTCGTTCAGATAATTTGCAAACTATTATCAAGCAGGAAAAAAATAATATCCATCTTCAATGAAAACAAATTGCATTTTGGCGATGTTTGATATTTTACATTCTCCTCTGATGTACCTATTCGATAGAAATGAAATTATATTTGCTATATAGTATGTGTAAGCTACACGATCTTATCAATTGCTCTTAAGTGTAATCTAAAACAAATGGGCATTTCATACTTACAGATAACGTCATGCCTGGAAAATGTAAACAGATCTCATCATCCGGCCAGTCATTAGCCACATAGAAATTAAAATCCCATACTCTGTCATTCATATAGGTCAACAAAGTTTGATGGAACTGTGAAAGAGAAAGATAACAATGTTACGTTAAAAGGTGTAAACAATTGTCGAGAGTTTATTCAAGGTACATTTCCCAACTGAATAACGTTGTGGCAAGTAAAGAAACAAAATAACAAGTAATCCTTTCCCACCGTATGTTTACAAAGCTATGGAACCGCGAAGAAACAGTTGGAAATCTTCTTCATCTCACGAAAGAATTAGAAGAGTACAAACTCTTGGGGTAGTTAAAGGGAAGCTTTTTTTTTCGCAGTGCGCATTCACTAAAGGCAACATCTTGTCAGATGAAAAGGTGGATATTTACGAGGAAGCTGCAGGATAAAGGAGAATCTAGCCAAGGGCGATGCTCCAGACGTCGCTTCTTAAAATAAACTACCACGTGCTATATCTAATACTTTCGTGTTTAAAGCTTTCCTTTTCTTACTCAAATATTGCAATGATCTTCATTTTGCAATGAGTAAGTGAGATGGATTCCGTTTGTCTACTTTTATTATCATCAATAGAAAAATCGAAATCAGAAATATATTATTAAAACTAAGACTTATAAAATTAAGAAAACTTTATCAATCGATACTTAAGATGAAGTAGGTTATTATGTGCTATCTCTGACACTTTAGCATCTCTCTTCTAAATAATAATTTTTATTTTCCAGAAAATTGGATGATCTTCATTCCTTTATCCATCATCATGTCCACCGATATGATTTCTGCACTTGAAAACATCGAAATCACAAAGTCAAGACCAAGATATCTAATAAAATCAATAAAACATCAATAAAAATTCTGAAAGAAAATGTATTTATCAATTATAAAATAAACATACCGAAAATAATTTATAGTGAATTAACTATGTATTTAGTAGCTCGGCTTCGATCAGTTGAAAGTAAGTAAATAATCGGCAATAGAATCTATTGCGGAATCTCGTAGCCTGTCCTAGATTTTATACATATAATCTGGTTGCACCAGAATGGACGAGATATCATACTCGACAAACGTCCTAGCAATTTTATACGTCGATTCGATTTGAAATTTCAATACAAACAAGTCAGGAATGGCACGTAGCCGCATGTGTTTTTATTTGTTACGCACGTTTTATCCGTCATTGCCAATATCCGTTCTATCGAATTTTACTTTTTCGAACGTTCGCCAGAATTCAGACGAATTCACATATACGAATGGAATTTTAACGTCCCTTCCCTTTCTATCGTGAGCGAACAAGTTCCCCGCATCTTCTTTTGTGGAAAGGGAATGTAATCGGGCTCACTTATTCTCGAAATATTTTGGCGAGCATACATGTCGTATAATAAAATGTTTCACATGCAGCACGTGAAGTATAACCGGTGTAAATTTACATATCACTGGCTCGATCTCGAAAAGTGGCAGAAACGATGATGCAAATGAGAAAGTTGTAGAAACTGTCTCGATTCGTTTGGTGTCTTTTAAGTGGAAACAGTACGCGCAGAAAATTCTTTACCGGTAAACATGTCACTCTGTATGATCATAAAATTAATTTTAAAAGGAAAGTTAAATTGCGATAATCAAATAAACTATAAAAACGTTTAGTTTATGCGATTTTGTATACCAGTCAAATGTGAGATTGATTTTAATTATAATTAAGTTCTGTCTTTCGTGACTATCTTTCTTCTCCTTTTGTTCTTTAATATTACTTTAATATGATAAAAATAAAACGAAAAATCTTTAATTCAGCAGAAACAATATAAAGAATCATTTTTAAAAATTCAATTTAATAGAATATTATATATATAAATATTATTAATAGAACAATCTTGACACGAATTGGTTGCGAAAAAAGATACTTACAATCTAATCTATTTGAGGTTAATAATAGAATAGAAATGTAAATGCTAGATAAACCAGATTTTATGATACCTTTATTATTTTTAATATATAAAAACATTTTATCTCAATTAACTAAACTCATGATTGATCAATATATTCATATTTCACGTTTTATTAAAAAGCAAAATTTTTATTTATTTAAAAAAAAAGGAACATTATTACTCACATCGTCATTTGTTAACAACAATTTCAATTTGAAGAACTTAAAAAGAGAAAAAAGAAACGTAGTCAAACATTAGGTTTATCACGAAAACAAAAGAAAAAAGGTTAAAAAAGGTGCAATTGAGAAAATGCTTTGTCAAAATTACTCATTATCGATCATCTTCGAGCCAGCTTGACGTCACTTGGTAAGGATCATCGTGACTTGGTAAGCATGCAAGAAGAATCGATTCGAATGCGGATTCGAAAAAGCCATATGGCATCGCGTGTGCATGTCCGGACATGACCTTGACCTTGCCTTTTCGTTGGTTGGCACAACTTTATTCGAGGATAAATGACGGTATGCGGCATCGTTTCATGCTGGCCAAACATTATAACGCGTAATATGAGTACCAATGAGTATGTTAACTCTACCGAATCGCGCAAACTGGATAACAGGAACAAGAACGGAAGAAAATCCTGTAAATTAAGAGGTTATTTTGTATGACCTGAATGATTGGAATTTAAAATCTTATGAAAACTCTAAGAAAAACTGATGGATGTATAGAAGGGATATACTTATATTAACCTTTAATATACCAACCTTGGGATATCTTTTATTAAAGCATATTTTTTATTTCTATAAATTTGTATTACGTTTATCATAATAATAATCTCATAATATTATTCAGAATTATTATTTTATTATATTTATTATAAATATGCCATATAAAAATCAAATCAATTTCATATTCTGAGAAATTTATAATTTTTCCTTCAAAATATATAATCAGCGTTCAATTATTCAGAAATCAAATGTAATATAAATATACATTTAGCACATATGACCTAATCTTATAGATGTAGAGTCACATTAGGATCTTTAAGTGATTCCATCTTGCTATATTAAGCGTCAAATGAGCTATCACGAAATATTCTCTGCATAATTATGTATTATGTGTACATATTCTCGACATCGTAATATAGTTGTTGAATTCATATAAACTCATGAATACTATGTCAAACGGGAAAGTTTATGATTTCAGATAAGCAATCGATTATTTTCTTGATAATGTTAATTACACTTATAATATTATATTTTAACAGAATGTCGCAAAAACGAATATCTTGATATCGCGAAAAGATTACGAGATCGACACCGCACGTTGATCATGGAAACGCAACCTTGGCCTTGACTCCGCTACACCTTGCACATCGGTAGTGGAATCGAGGTGGCGTGGCCAGCAGTCGTAACACCGATAGTCCCGCCACTCCGCTACCCGTCGACGAGTAACAAACAAAGCTCTTTTTAGATCGATAACTCACTAGCTCAAGAATGAAAGGTAAAAGAAAAAAAGATGGGTCGATGCCATCTTTCTAATTGATTTCTTTCTATTTATTTGCTTTTTTTTTTTTTTTTATGTATCATGTTATGTATCATGTTTTTCTAGTAACTTTTTAAAAAGAGACCTCTGGTGACTAATAATTTAATTGCGAATTCATTCCCACACTATACTCATCAATCTAACGTTCGTTGTTTATTTTTGCAACAGATTCTCGAAGGTATTGAATATAAATTATGGAATTAACATAAAGCAATATCGAATTTAATAATTTAGATGCCAATCACAATCTATTACGCAACAATATTGTTTAATATATGAAATTTCAATAATACATCTTGGTTATATATCTTTTAAGAAATCGTTTAAAATTATATATAGAAATTTCTTATTTCTATATATTAATTTCTAATAAATATGCTCATGCTGGAAATCTCACTTTGCAAAAAAAAAAAGAAGAAGAAAGAAGATTAAGAAGTCTTATACAGGTAGAAAAATTTTTCATTATTTGTTGAGAGTTACAAGACAGTTTTAATTGAAAAGTATGTCGAAATAAATGTCTTATTAGCAATGAATAAATCAAGATAGAAAGGTAAGCTAGATTTAATAATTTGACTCTGAAATATGTACTCATTGACCGATTATCACACTCCGCTGCATTTATATTAACAGGTGTCTGCTATGATATGTAAAAATTGGCACATTTTCGATTAAATGGAAATATTAAAACTTCATTTAACCTCAACAAAACTATCGTAAAAATAGATATAAAATTATATGCAGATTTATCCAAATCTGTAATTAAGAAATAATATATCGAGATAATATAATTTGATGATAATTTCTTGTAAATAATCAATAATGGTAATAAAATATTATTATTAATATTATTATAAAATTTTTTAAATTTAATTTATTATTACAATCATTATTTATGTTATTTTAATATATTTTATAGAAACAAAATCCAAATTGAACAAATCAAAAAGCAAAATACTAATACTACTATACTAATACTACAAACTAGTAGTAAATTTTAAAAATCCTTTATAAATAGCTCTTACTAATATTTGATATTAATTAATAAAAATCACTAATATTTAGTGACACTATATCATCTTAATAATTTAATTATTAAGATCATCTTGTAATAATTTAATTAGGCTGCTAAATATCGACCAGTATAGAAAATACTATTATATACAAGAAACTTCACGAAACAAAGTTAAAATAAACCTTACTGGTCTGTGTAGCATGACAAAGGTAAAAGCAGTTAAAAAATATCAGTTATAATAGAAAATGAAATTTTAAATTTCATAATCAATACACATATATTTGTATCATCGAAAAAGAGATTGATATTATACGATTTAAAAAATAAAAGAAATCATGTCGCATTGTCCGTACTACTTTACGACGCCGCATGCAAATATCACACCAAGAATATCGCCGCTGCGCAAAACGATCTGTACCAGCCGCGACCTTGACACTAACCTAGCACAACGGCCCACCATTTAGACCGGGTTACGGAGGAAATACTACGCAGGAATCTCTTCCTTTGCACCGGTAATCTTATCCTATCGAATCTCGTCGCCTCTTCCCTCGGGAATCCTACGATATTCTATAGCCATAGTTCCCCTTTATGGTTCATCCAATTTCTATCAACCATGCGACAATTTTTATTTCTATTCTTCTTTCTCCTGTTTACTTCAACTTGTTTTTGTCTTGTACTTTCTTTCTTTATTAGATTTATTTTAAATCTAATTTCAATGTCATCATCTTTGATACTATTATTTTAAATTTATTAAAATTATTATTTTCAATTTTAGAATGGAAAGTTAACATATAATTTATGATATCATTCAAAGACTTCAGAAAAATAATTTAAAGATGGCAAACACAGCAGGTATTGATCTTTGGATTAAATTCCTTTTGAAATATTTTAATTTATGAATTCAATATTATCATGATATATATTAATTCTTTAAGTATTGTAGATCTATGTTTCATTGATGTTTCATGAAATACAAAATCTTGTTGGAAGAGTAATTTAAAATTGCTTTAACAGAGAAGACATCGGAATTTTCAATTAAATTTTGCTTTATAGAGATGGTTTCAAGAACTTTAAATCAATTATGTTTTTCATGTTAGTATTAAAAATACAAAAAAATGTAATAATTTGTAGAGAATTACATGATAATTATAAAAATGATTCGTTATTAATCATTGGAATTATTATTAACTTAAAATACAATAACAAAAAGAAAATATTAACCTAAAATATAATAACAGAGAAAATATTTGCAAACTAAGCAAAATTAATTCGTTTACATAACAAGACAAATTAGGTTTTTCTATGAAAT